CATTGGCGAAGTAATTTTAAAAATAAACGTTGTCAAAGCCGAGAAAATCAAAGTTAAAATATATGTAAATCAACATGAATCTGTATCACATATACAGATACGACACGCTTATGATTTTTCTTTGTGTTTTCTTCATGAATTATTAATGAGTTTTTTAATACTCTATACACGAATCGCGAAATTCGATTGCGCATCCAAATGACGCGTTCTGAGTCTGACAAAGTCCGAATTCAATGAAAAACATGTAGCTGTGACTGGATGATTAAAATATGCGTATTAAAGTATTGAAATGTTCAGTGATGCATTCGTGTTGTATTGTAGTAATATGTAATCATGAATGCATGAGTGAACATTCCAATACTTCAATACGCATATTTGAATCATCCAGTCACAGCTACATGTTTTCCTCTAACTGTAATTTTTGCCCGAATTTCGCGATTCGTGTATAGTATCCTATTAATTTTAGTCAAGATTTTCGATGGAGAACTATTTTCTTGACGTACAGCAATTGATAGGACTGGAACAGATCAGGGGACTGGAAGCGATAGAGGCAGATGGCTTTCAAACTTCAACATATACGTACATGTTGTAGATCACCTAAAGGCAAACGATGATCATTGGTTATTTATAGAACACGATAAAAATAATAAGGTATACCCATTACCCACCCTACGGAATCATATGAAAAGCAACCTTTTTAATTATTTGAAACTTTAATATACATTTTTAGTAGAAATAGGTTGATAAGGTACCGTGTATAAAGATTTTAAAATAACAATAATATTAATAATAAACATGAAAATATTGCATGTGATAACCTCGACTTAAATGTGCGAAACACCACATACACAGTAACCTGTTTATCCCATCAAAATGTCGCAGGAGAAATTTAAAGTTCACACAACGATGACACAGGGACGTGCTGGGGTCTTAAAAAAGACAACGAATGAGCAACGTCTGATGGGGCCCATGCGCAGTGAACGGTGGCTCAATATTAATTTGAAAAAATTTGAATGTTTTTATTTTAGCCAGCACGTCCCTGCGATGACAACAATCTAATTATAGTTGTGATCACTATAAAATATATCAACAACAATAGTATAATCGAATTAGCACCAACCAATCAAATGACAGATTAAAAAATCTTTTGTCTCATAGACCAATCAGATTTACAACCGAAATACGGTTGTACGGCATGGACTTTGTTAAGGTTTGTATCAGGCCTATTTATTTATTTATAGGCCTGATCGCAGGTTACATATGCAGTGAAAGATCTTACAAGTTATAAATAACAATCTACAGGCAATTTAAAACGGTGATCGCTAGATAGTATACTTCAAAATAAGGTTTCCGTTTTTATAACGTAGAAAAAACTATCCTAACGCAAAACTAAACCCTAATACTAAGCCTAATACTAACCCTCACCCTAACCCCAACCTAACTCTAACCTAACCCTAACTTATTTTAAAAATTGATATAAAAATGGAAATCTTATTTTGAAGTATACTATCTAGCAATTGCCAATTTAAAACGTCGCCTCTATCTGTAAATGAGATTCTTTAAGGATCGGTGGGTTTTAATGGAACGTGCATGGGATGTTTGACCGGGAGGACGCGGAAAACGAAGCCTCGCTAACCCGCCTCGTCCTCCCCATGCACCATCGCGCGCGCGCTCAGCTTAGCCACTGATCTATATAAAAACACTGTAGTGTGCCTATTTTTAGTTATTTGCGCCTGGGTGAGGCTGACGTAGGCAAATCCGACAATCGATATGCATATCCATACAATGAAATGAAATGAAGTGCAATGTCTTTTAAACAAAAACGATACAAAAAATTGAAAAAAGATTTTAAAATATATTAAATCCCTCTTCCAAATGGAGAGACTAAATTTTCATTGTTATTTTCCCTTAATAACAGTGAAATCCTCATCCGTCCCGCCGGTTTGGTTAAGTTAAAACAACACTTTACAAAACAGAAAATCTACAGATTACTGGTATTCGCCATGGCAAATCGGCTTTCCAAATAGGCAACCAGCATTTGCGCTATCTTTAAAGAAAAATAGAACAGCACGTACAGGGATGTTAAGAAGCATGAGGTGTTTGTGGGGGACGGTAGTTCGAAGGATTTTGACCTGAATCAGATTTTTAACGTTAAAAGTTGTACAGTATGACAGGCTCCTAATTTGCATATAGATTGGAGGATATTAATTTGGTTGGGGGCGAGGGGGGGGGAGGGGAAGTTCTTCCATGCACAAATGAATGGTGTCTATTCATTTAATAATTTGTTACATCGGTTGCAAAAAACATTTGGGTTTCTGATGTGGTTGATGTTTTTATAACGCATCTGTTTGTGACTTTATCCAATATTTTGGTTCGGATTAAGGATTTTCTTGTTTCAGCTTCTGATTGTGGATCATTTTTGGACCTATTCGTGTATTGAGTATACTAGCTTCCTTTATCAATTATTTTCAACCGATTGGCTGATTTTACAACCTTTGTTCACTCCCCTCCTTTTAGGGAAAAGCTCTGGGAACGAGGTTGGCATTGAGAAAAATTACATGCATGGGAAAACACTTCCCGACAACCCCCACCCCCTCTGAACACGTTGATCACAAGCCACCATAATCTTTTTGCATTCATACACTCGGTAAACTTATTCTTGCAATATATCTTTTTTTCATTCGTAGGTAGAATCCAGGAGTGAAATAACCGAGTGTATAGCTTGGATTTATTGTCAAAATATGAATGACGTATTTCTTCAAAAATCTGTCGATCACTCAATTTGTCGATTGCAATCTGTCGATGGCTATATGACCGGTCAAAGACGAGTGCGCAGTGACGTACTACGCAATTACATGTCAAGCTTTTTTTGACGGCCGTAATATTATATACACAAACAAGCTTCTTCGTTCAAAATCTGACACCACTATCTTTTAGACATGCAAATTAAGCTCCTTATTAAGTGCACCTAACCTCAATTCTTCTAACATCTCATTCCTAAAATGATATTGTAACTTATTTTGAAGATTTTCGTTTGCACACTTTGCCTATGAGTTATTTCAGTTTTATTGATATGCAAATGTGAGGAATTTACGTCAGATATGAATAATGACTGATCAAAGAATGTAAGGTACAGTTAAATATCATGAAATAAAAGGCTAAATGGTGTTTTACATATTGGTATGCAGGGACGCCGGAACGATGTGAAGGCAAGGGGGGGGGGCGTATTTTCGTGAAAGGGCACTTTTGAATTGATATATACTAAGAGATGTTTACAAAACATCGGGAGTTGAACTTCGCCTAATCTTGTTTTCTATTTATTGGATGATAGGGGTGTGAGGGGGTTCTCCGCCAGGCGATTGTGCTATTCTTGAAGCTCGATGACTGCATTTCTTGCGTTTTCTGAAGTAAATTCGTAAAAGAATTGCACTAACATTTCTGACAATTCGCTATTTCGACAAGTTAAGGCAATTCTTTAAAGTAAAAGGGTACCTTTTCCACCCTTGCCCCTCCTTATAAAGGGCAACAGGGGCGGCTGCCCCTCCTGCCTCCGCCCCAGTTCCGGCGTCCCTGTAGGTATGTAATCCTCCCACAACTCCAAACTTCATTTTAATGAACTGAACTCGACATTGAATACGATATACAAGCTTTTACTTTAAGTCATATTATGCATTTCAGCATTTGTGACGTAAATTCCGTATATTTGCATACCAAACAAACTGAAATATCTCAAATGAGCACACGAAAATCTTCAGAATAAGTTATTAAATCATTTCAGAAGTTCTTAAGAATGAAATGATAAAAGTAATTGAGGTTAGGTGCACTTTAAGGGAAAATGTCTGACAGACTGACATGTCTTGTTTCCACGGGTTTGGGTTCAAACATGATGCATGGCCAACATACATGTATGTTAGTCTACATACATACATACATCATATATTATTATTATAATATATTATTTATATTATCATACATCATTTATTGGCAGCATTCTTGGATGCAACATTGTATTTCGGCCACGTTTCAACTATATTGGATAATGTTGGCTGATTTTTTTTGTTACTGAATGATGTTGAACCGTCGCTTGAACGGGATTTCAAAGGGAGTCACAAACAGAGGTACGAGTTGTTACATCAATCTTGTTACATATTAAAATAACCTGTTTAAATATTTATTTATGCAAATGACAGTTCGACTGCATATAATTACCTGACCGTTTTCTCGCGTTTTTCTTAAAATTTTGATTACACATATAGTTCTATGTTACTATGTATGCATGTGTATGACTGCATGATATCATAAGATTGCGGTGAAAGTTGGACCTGGTCAAAGTCTGGATTTCGGCTTAATTGTCACTAATAGATTAGTGTGCAGATATATAGGAGAAATTTTGACTGCACAGAGAACTTCCCCCTCTCCCCCCGTGAAAATTTATCACAAGATTCCTTGGCGATTTTGAATTCCAGTTCACTGGTCTTTCATTTTATTTATTCACGGATCGAGGCGATCACTTAGATCTCTCGTTCTCGAAACATTAATGTATTTTTAAATTTGGAAATTAAAAACAGTGTCTGCAATATAAATTATTTCATTTCAAGCAACAAGCTCAAGAGTGGAGTACGATTTACCATATTCATAAATGTTATTTATCCAGCCTTCTTTTGCTGCATAAGAAAACGGGTACATGAACTCTACGTATATATGCATGGGTAGTCAAATTTAAAGTTTGCCAGATATTCCCGTTAATTTGCATGGATATAATATAAAACAAGATCTAAAAGAAAGTTTTCTTACTATATTGCTATAATCAAGTTCTCTGGAAAATTTCAAGATTTGGGAACGCTCCTCTCTCCCCCCTGACAGTTTGAAACAAACTGTCAGAGTTTGATATTTCTATTGCCATCCCGTTTCCGATCGGTCACTAAAAATTTTCCTTCATTCACAGATGGAAGGCGAAGGGTGGAACAACTTATTGTCAATGATCTGATGAATTATGAGCCATGGTGGATAAATTTACTATCACATCTATCGCTTTAAAATGGTATTTCTTTACCTCTGCCAGTCTTATGGTCTACGATGAATTTTTTAATCTATTTCTGAAGCAACTTGGGCTTACCTCACAACAGATCGGCGCCACAACTCTCCTTGGCGTTCAGCATTTCTTTATTCCGCTTTTGCTTTTGATTGGTGACAAATTTCGTGCACGCAAACTGCTTATTTGGATCGTGACGATTGTTGCAGTTATAAACTGTATTCTACCACTGCTACCGTTGGTTGTGGATCTACCAACATGTTTTCAAAGGATTCATAGTTCAATTATGGCTTCGGCAAAATTTCTTTACCCAAACCGTCCATCAAGAAACGCCACATCTTTGGACAATGGAATATCATTTCAAGCTACCTCCGTATATAATTCGACAACTAAAAATCACCAGACTGTACCCTGGATCAGTAACATATTTTTCCTTATGGTCGTGTCACGGGCCCTAACCGCATTCCTGGAAGGAACAGTACACGCTTTAGCCAACCTCGCTACAATCACCCATCTCGATAAACACAGGTCCAGTTTTGGATCTTATTACATGTGGTCGCAAATTGGAAGCGGGGCCTCAATTCTCACTGCGGCTGTTTTGTCTTGGATAATAAGATTGGCTATTTGTGGGAAAGAAGGATACGGCTTCTTCTCAGCTTTTTTGGTCGCATCTTTTTTGGTTGTCCTCTCAATGTTTGCACTGCCTTGGTTTGAATTCAAGTACGAAAATGACCGAATTATTGACTGGGATGAAGTGAAACGTGTCGTAACTAACAGTCATTATATCTACATGTACTTTATGTTTTTCTATGCGGGTGTTTGCGTGGCGTTTCAGATTTATTGGGAATTTTGGTATCTGGATGAGTTATTGGCCAGTCCATTGATTATGGGTGGAGCCGCATTGATCCGCAGACCATTGTTGGCCGTGTCTATTTTTACCTCATGTCGTGTTATAAGAAAGATTGGTGATCTTTATACAATATGTATCGCTTTTCTGTTATTTGCCCTCTCGTATTTCGCTCTATCCTTCACACGAGTGTTTTGGTATGTGCTCGCTATTGATACGTTTCAAGCGGCTGCTTATGGTTTATCTTATACTGCATTCACAGTGCATTTATCCAAAGCTGGATCGAAAGCAAGTGCAGGCGTACTGCTAGGTAAGAATCTTTACACATCTTGTATAATCATCCAGTATAACAATGGCGTATTATTATACATTTGCACGTTTATTTCAGTGCCTTTTTAAGGAAATTTTCATTGGGAAGGCAAAGGCAAACTCATTTCTTCCAAATAAGAAAAATTTGAGCAGAAAAGGCTTGCCCAATAGCACTGACGATTGATATATGGAAGGGAGAGCTAGTGTATTCACAACTTTAACTAATCAACTTTTACTGTTTCACTGCAACTTTAACTGTGACTAGAATTTTTAAATCTCGATCTTAGATAACCAGATTGATTTTGCTCATGTGATTACATGATTCGGTTGGGTAGTCCGGGTTTTCAAGCGCGACATGTTATCCCCGGACATACAGTAAGTGCATGTCACATCATTTACTCATGGACAAAGCCGTGCAATACTTTGTATACGTTACTCTGGAAGCTTTAGCTGCCATAGTGACTTGTAACTATACATGCGAAAGTACGTCCTAACCCGGCCCGGCTGACTTTTCGGCATTGCAGACGCTGAAATATGTCAAGGAGTTAACCAAAGCATATAGTATAGTTGATATAGAAAAAAATACATAGTATAGTAGGCCTGCATAAAGTTAGTAGAGAAAATTTGAATGTAATTTTGAGCATGAAAGTGATCTCATTCTTTGGCGTTCTTTTTATGCACAATTCGTAACATGCTGATAATGGTGGATTTTGATTGAAGCTACATACATTTACATACAAATATTATTCAGCTCACTCCCCAACGGGGCTTTTCAGTGACCGATTACATCAAGTATTACGCTTACTTGTCTACCTACTTAGCCTATAATTATAGACTGATTATCTTTACAGCAATTGTGATATTACTTTCCTAACTATATGTTTATCCTAACCCACCCTGCATGTCAACTTTCCCTGTGAGAGGAAACCGGAGCACCCGAAGAAACCCACGACTTTCGGCAGAGAGTTGACTGACTCTTTTCCGATGGGCTGTAGCGAGAATGGCGAACCCACGTTCTCATGCAGAGGTGAAAGGCGCTTGCTCTGCATGACGACTATGCCACCGATGCATGCATGTGAGAGAGATAAGATGGAAATGATTGAATGTCCTACAAAGCGCATGAAAGACTGAATAGGCCTATAGTTACGCCATTCTGAAACTAATTTTACAGTTATATTATTAAAAAAAGCATGTTCGATATATATATATATATATATATATATATATATATATATATATATATATATATATATATATATATATATATATATATACCAAATATGTATTTAGAATCATATATGAGTAGAGTGCTCGATATACCGAAGTATAGAGCTAATATAGATAAAGATAAAATAAACCTGGTTTACTTCATAAGATTTATTCACTACAAACTTGTTTCGTATGACAAGCAATGCTTGCCATACGAAACAAGTTTGTAGTGAATAAATCTTATGAAGTAAACCAGGTTTATTTTATCTTTATCTATCTATATATATATATATATATATATATATATATATATATATATATATATATATATATATATATATATATATATATATATATATATATATATATATATATATATATATATATATATATACATATATATATATATATATATATATACATATACATATACATATACATATACATATACATATACATATATATATATATATTTAACAATTATTCGCCGAAGGCGAGGTTTTTATTCTCGCCGAAGGCGAGACGAAGTCGAGGTTTTTATTCAGCGATATTCACCGAGCCTGAGGCGAATAATTGTTTTAGTATAATTACAAAGGTGATTATTTGAAAAAAAATAATATAACACATCTCAATCTTTTTTCGTACGGCGGTGACTTTAGCTTTCTATATCCAGGGCCGTTCATATCGCCATCAAGAATGCTTTTTGTAGTAATTTCCATCACTTTTTCTTATAGAAACGTAGAATTTTGATAAACATTTGTTTATTCCGTCAATATTGATGTCTTCAAACTCATTTGTGAATTCTGACTGTCGTTGAAACAAATCTGTTGTAGAAAATACAAACGTAAACAAATGTCTAAACTATTGTACGGCAACTTAAATAAAACGGTGTTTTATGCGAAGTAGTTTCCCATCTCGAAATACTTTTAAGCCAAATTTTGTCACTTCTTTCGTGCTTTTAGGTACAGTATTTTCTTTAAAATTTAATTTATTTCTTCATCTGTCACTTCGACGAAACCACTCGCCGCCATTTTGAAAAATCCGCTTAGGTGATTATCGCGTAATAATCCGAGGTCGCTTGACCAATCAGCGGCCACAATTTTCGATAATCACCTTTGTAATTATACTAAATATATATATTCCTATAGGCTATTTTATCTGAAGAGTGCCACGTTATTTACGTGGTACGAAACTGTATAGTAATAAATATGCCAAACAAAGCTTGCTAAGTTTTTGTGTCTTTCTATTATGCTCTGGTTATCCATTGAGCATTCTATCATTGGTTTTTATAACCCAACATAATATATATATATATATATATATATATATATATATATATATATATATATATATATATATATATATATATATATATATATATATATATATATACATATACAACATAATATATATATATATATATATATATATATATATATATATATATATATATATATATATATATATATATATATGTATATATAATATAATATAACTATATAAGGCTCTTTTTACATGAAACCAAGACGAAGTCAAATTAGGACGAACGAAAACTTCTAAGCCAGATGAAATCATGAGACCGGTATAAAAACCACAAATGTTTTAGTCTATTCCCCTTGCATGCTCACCGCTTTTTTTACAGTGCTCAGTTTGTGAAACCAGTCTAAAATTTTGTGTTTACATTCTACCTGCTCCAAATTCATCCCGGTCTAAAGATAGTTGGTTCGGTCAAGCGAGTGGGATGATTTGTCTGAGAAAGTTTTCCTCCCGGTCTCATGTAAACATCTATTACAAATAATACCGTGCCGGTTGGACTTCGTCCCGGTCTCATAGTGTAAACGGGACCTGACTTCAGACCGGCATGAATATTCGGAGCGGGACGAATGTAAAAAAAACAGAAAGGACCAGCCTTGGCTATATGCTCTCGGTTTCGGCACAATGCATGCATGCTCATAAAAGCACTGAAAAAAAAGAAAATGGCGCAGTAAAATTTCGCTAAACTTTCGCTTTATGAAAACGGCTGGGAATTATGAGTTAACCATGCATTTCACGGCCCAGAGAGATGACACTGTATACTATATGAACCAAGTTAGCCCTCAGAATAATTCCAAGAGGAATTTAAAGTTAAAAGATGTGGAAACCATTCTACTTCAATCATTTCCAACCTGACCTTCCATGGGCGGATACACTGAGGGGAAAAAATGGTTCAATGATGTCATCCGTATATGCATGACGACTGATTGCGCCTGAGTGATTTTTGCATATCTTTCAAGGCAGAAAAGAACGCTTGTTGTTTACGAGCTGTTTACCAAATTTCCGTGCGCACCTTTTCAATGTCATTACATTTTCCTCCTATGTGACTGAAGCCCCGTTTACACTACGCTCAATTTTTGGTACGGCACCATAGGCGTCAAAAGATCGATAAGTGTGTGTGGGGGGTACCATATTCATATATTCCTATTCACAGACCTTAAAAACAATCGATTTCAAAAGAAATTAATAACGCAGAACACGAATATATGAATATGCCCCCCCCCCCACTTATCGATCTTTTGACGCCTATGTACGGCACGGATAAAATTGGTACCCGTACCACTTTTTTGGTTCTTGGACTACCTATTTAGGTAATCCAAGAACCAAAAAAGTGGTACGGTACCAAAAATAGAGCGTAGTGTAAACGGGGCTGACCATTTAGGTAGTCCAAGAATCAAAAAAGTGCATTACATTGAAAATTGTAATGTAAATTGTTATTAAGAAGATACCTGCGAATGGTTTTACAGTCGTGCCAATAGAAGCGTTCCGAAAAATGTTGATCAGTTCATTTCCTAACTTCGAAGAGTTCCTCTGAACAATTCCTCAACAATTTGATAAGTTCCTTAAAAAGTTCCTAACTTCCTGTTTCATTGACCAATCAGATTGCTCAAAAATAAAATATAAAATTTGATTGGTCAATGAAACAGGAAGTTAGGAACTTTTTAACGAACTTATCAAATTGTTGAGGAATTGTTCAGAGGAACTCCTCGAAGTTAGGAAATAAACTGATCAAAATTTTTCGGAACGCTTGTATTGGCACGACTGTAAGCGGAAAGGAACGAATACATTGGTAATTTTTGTTTTCTTCTAACAAATGTGTAACATGTAGGCTACTAATAAACTCGAATTTCATTCATCATTTCTTGGTTGGTTCGACCAATCTGTTTTGTCAGTGAAGGTACTGTATAGTCTTTGGCTCTGACATCAGTGCGCCTTCTTGTATTTCTAGGATTTCAGGAGATGTTTTTTGTTGTTGGAAATGACGCTGGTGCGACAATTTGGGGTGTACTGTTCTACCATATTGGAACACGGGGCGCGCTTCTTTTTTTCGCCGCGGTAACCGCTATACTACTTGTCTCACTTCTCATTTATGTGAGATTTTCAAAGAAGGCAAGTGAATATGAGAAAATCTCTCAGCATGATGACGATGATTATGACGATGATTCCTGTTAAGATAAAAAAATCCTATAAACTTGGTCATGCTTCGAAAATACGCTGGGAGAGCAACAAGAGTGGAGATAAGATCCTGGGTACGAGTCTAGACTATGAAATAGAGCATGCCATGTATGTTATGTATGTTATCAATGTATGTATGAACCAATATTCACGGCCGTGTTGTATTGGATATACAATCCGTTATATATGGAAGTTATATATATACTAACCATTGTATATCCGTTGGATATACAATGGTTAGTATGGACCAAAATCCAGTGATTGTACTTTCAATACAACACGAACGTCACTGTGCAAACAACTTGTGAAATGAGTGTATTCATAAGCTTGTTTAAAAATTCCAATCGTATCGTTTGATTTTACTCAAACTTTTGAGTCACTGACGGGCTGTATTATTTTACTCGAGTTATTGAGTGAAAAGAATCAGGTATTTTTTCAGTGATACAAAGCTTAACTGCTTATTAAACCAGGTGATCTCGTGTTCGTATTTTAGCCAATCAGCGCTCAGAAACACAGGGCGAAAAAACAGATTTGCACTAGGCTTTGCAACCCGGTGCAAAGGTGCCATTGCCGTAATCGCATCAAATTTGAAAGGTTGCAAATATTTTGGCAAATTTAGAAACAAAATTATGGACGAAAATACCCACAAATTCACTTGTGCAAATGAAAGGTAATTTGAGCCAAATTTATCCTATACCCATTCCCTCTCAAAAAAGAGAATTGTATCTACCAATATGAGGGTAAAAATTTATTTACCAATTTTCTTTCCAAATTTGAACAAAATTTGCACAATAGCAAATTTGATGCGATTACGGCAATGGCACCTTTGCAGGGGGTTGCAAAGTTGGAGCAAATCTATTTTTTCGTCCTGTGAAAGGGTTGTCCGAATAGAAATCCATTTTGATGTATTCAGTCAATTATATCTTTCGTTATTCCTTATGAAACTAGTTGAAATTTTGTAATTACGTTTGGTTATGAGAACTATAGCTCTGACAAAAATATGAAATCGAAATAAAGTATATTACAGGAGATATTCAGTTGTTTTAATCATAAAATGGATTTCTATTTGACAACTAGTGCCAGTGCTTTTCCGCGTATCAAGATCACCTGGAAGGAATACCGAATGGTTTTCCGTGCAGGATTGCGTGATCCATGCACGAGGGATGTCGAGAGACTTTCGGAAAGCGTAAAAATACTCGAGCCGCAGGCGAGTGTATTTTTACGCTTTCCGAATGTCGAGCAACGTCCCAAGTGCATGGATCACGCTATCCTGCTTGGAAAACCAATTGGTACTAATTGTTTTATAAAATAACTACAGAGAAACAATGACATTTTGTGAATCACGCGAAAATCCCACGAAGGCATTTTAATTCGTCGTGCAAGATAGCCTGATCCTGCACGTCCATTGACCAATCAAATTGCGTGTTTCACTGTAGTTATTATATAATATCATTTATTACATATAGTTGGGACTTTGGGAATGTGATATCGCGAGAACTCGCCTATTTATAGCTACATTGCGTAGAATTCTTAATGTAGAGCTGTCAACATTAGCCTGCGTTGCCGGCGTAGGTCAACATCGGTGGTGCCAACGACAAGACTTTTTCAGGCTTTTCACTGAGTCATACGACTTGCAGCATATACCTGATATGACCGTGAATACTACGCAATCAGTGAAATTAATGCGATCAGGGACGCCGGAACGACGTGAAGGCAAAGCGAGGAAGATTTTTCTGTTGGGACACTTTTTAACGAGTTCGGGTTTTCCGCCCTGGCTCCGGCGATAATATTTTTCGGGAACATGTAACGATTTTTTAAACAATTTTTTAAAACATCTCAAAGTTTCCCTAAAATCAAAAAGGACAGCTTTGCCCTTCTTGGGAAAGCATCCCCACCCCCGAGGCCCTTCCCCTCCTGCGTTCCTGATTGCGATTATTCATTATCGTTGTAAAATATACAGTAATTATACTTATTAGATTTATGACAACGATTTGTCTTATATTAGAGTAGGAATAGAAATTCAATTTGCTACAGTAGTGAATAGTTGGTTTATATTAGTTTTTTCAGTTAGTCACTTTGATTATTGTTTTTCCTTTTACATCAACCGTATAAATTACAAATCAGTTGTTGTAGTTACTAGTTATGTTATAGTTATCCTTAATACTTTAAAGTGCCTATGACACGAAATTTCACCCCAAATGTTTATGATTGCATTGTAAAGAACACTTAAAATAACTTAATAATTTCTTTTATAGAATTTTGGTAACTTGCTTCCTTTTCAAGATATTCAACTTTGTTTCATATGCAAATATCACCCGTGTGACATCACATAGCATAATGACATTTTGAAAACGCAATATTTTACCTTGATAAAATACTTTTACAAACAAATACAGAGGGTTAATTACCAGTTATGAAATTAATACATATACAAGGGCAATTTTTAAGTTTTTAGATACGTATTCGTCGAGAAAACTATACTTTTCTGAAAATTCATTATGTGATGTGTTGTCACACTGGTGATATTTGCATTCGAAACAAAGTTGAATATCTTGAAAAGGGAGCAAGTTGCCAAAATTCTATAAAAGAAATTAAGTCATTTCAAGTGATCTTTACAATGCAACCATAAACCTTTGGGGTGAAATTTCGTGTCATAGGCACTTTAATAAATTGTAAGTTTCGTATTGTACTCATGGAATGACGATTTCATTAATTAAATTATGCGTGCCTTCCTCCTGCCATTTTGCGAAATGACGCCATTTTGTCAAACTCTATAATGCCAACATTTTTTACTTCTGGTTCCAATCCTTCCTATTGAGCCAAGAAGACTTTAGACAGCAAGACGCCCTCAGGATTTTTTTTTGCTTTGAGGGGGCAACTCAATAATCATTATGATTTTTCTGTGTTGGTGTAATGTACTTAGGTGAATATGATGCTTGTGATGTTACTCTGAGTGCACATCCACACCGGGCAAGTTTGAAAAATATGCCTGATAAAGGTGGGAATCGAACCGACGACCTTTGGAATCAGTGCCTTTTTTAAGGAATTTTCACTGGGGGGGGGGGGGGG